AGGGAAAAGGTTGAACAGGTTTTATGGTTTGTTTGTTTACCAATCCCAATTACAATCTGCTCATTAACTGGCCTGGCCTCTGTGTGACTGCCAGGGCAGCCTTCAGTCAGCAGCAGCGTGAATTCAGGCTGCGGGGGTCAGTCTGGCGGAGTCAGGGGGCGCAGTCCTTCGTAAGCAGGACATCGGGATTCATTTCATCTAAGTTCATCCTCTCCTTGGGCATGAAGCATTTTAGAGAACAGAAAGTGTACTATGTAGACAGCGCCATCTGAGTTGGGGGGTTTACTTGTGACCCGAGTGGCATCCACTTCCATAAATAGCTTGCCTCCGGAAACCCTATGAACCTGGAGAGAGGATGAAAGTCACACAAGTGTTGAGGACTTTCTTTCCCAGGGTTGCTATGAGTCGCCTATGACTAGATAGCACTTAACAACAAGAAGGAAGTTTGGGAGATTTTTCTTTTTTTAAGGGGCTCTGGGTGGCATAGCATGTTACAAGTTGTTCTGTTAATTTAAAGGTCAGCGGATCGAATCCACCAGCCGTTCCTAGGGAGAAAGATGGGCATTTCTCCTCTTACAAGGACTTAAGAGTCTCAGAAACCCAGTGAAGCATCACAAGGCATCAGAACTGACTCAATGGCAGTGGGTTTGCTTTGAAAATAGCTTGGTGGCTTGATGGTGAACCAAACGGAAAGGCTGGCGGTTCAAATCCACCGGTCGCTGCAAGGGAAGAAGACTCAGCAGTGTGCTTCAGGAGCCTTGGAAGCCCTGCGGACAGCCCGATTCTGCCTGCACTCAGCTCAGTGGCAACGGAGCTTTGATTCTTGGCGGTGCAGTGGGTAAGGGCTTGCTTGGAGGCTAACAGAAAGGTTGGACGTTCGAACCCACCAATGGCTCCCCAAGGAGAGAGAGCTGCCACTGGTCTCCTTGTAAAAAAGAGCCATTGCACGCTGGTCACTGCATCGTCATAGCGACCCTGGAGGCCGAGCAGCTCTGCCTCCTCAGGGCTGACTCCGCTGTAACCTAGGCGACGCACGTCCTTGCTTGATAAAGATCAAAGACTACAGCCTTCCTATGGTTTACACCTCAACAATATCAAGGAAAAAACCCTGCAACCCCTGAACAGATAAGGCTGGAGGAAAGATTGAAGTGCCAATGATTTCACGTTCCCTGGATCCACAATCAACACCGTGGCAGAAGAAGACAAATCAGAAGTCGCATTGCACTGAGAAAAGCCGCTGTCAAAGACCTCTTCAAAGTGCAAAAGAGCAAGGTGGTCCGCCTAGACACTAGGGTGCATCTGACTCTAGTGATGTCTTTTCGGTATACGCACCTGAAACGTGGACAAGGACTGAGGAAGGACAAAGATGAACTGTGGTGTTGGCAAAGGGCACCGAATGCCCCACGGCCTTCCCAAAGAACAAACACAACTGTCTTAGAGGAAGTTCAAGCAGGGTGTGCCTTAGAGGCAAGGGTGGGGTGATCCATCTCAGACTTTGGGCGCCTTGTCTGGAGGGGCCAGGCCTTGGGGAAGGTAGAGGGTCAGAGACAGAGGGAGAGGCCCTCACCAGGAGGGACGGAAACAGCTGACAGCGACACTGAGCTTGAGCATGAATGAGATTGTGGGGATGGGGCCGGCCAGGGCCAGGGTCAGGCTGGTGCAGAGTCGACTCCCTGACCCTAACAACAGCAGTCGTAGGGAAGGAAGCAGACGGCACTGTCTTTTCAGCTTGCAGGTGTTGAACTCTGCGAAACCAGGGCTACTCCCAGAAATGACAAAACAAACGCAGCGCTGTGGAGTGGGCCTCAGCCCCTGACCACCCTCCCTCGGACTCTGCCTTCTAAGGCCCCCACTGACAGTGGAGGCGTGACTGTTTCTGAGGGGCAGGGTTCTGCATGCGACGCTGTCTGAATCCACGGGTCCCGCTCAGGGGGAGAGCTGGCCGGTGTCCTCCCGTTAAGATTTCACACTCTTGCTGGTACCTGGTGGGCTGGTTCTGACTCACAGTGACCCTCCCTCGAATATCCACAGAAAGTCCGGTCCTAGAACATGCAGAGCTTTAAAAGATGAACTGCCCATCTTTCTAGAAGCGCCTGGTGGATTCGGGCCACACGACCTTTCTGTTGGCAGCCACTGGGGCTCAGTAAGGAAGTCAATGGCTTGGTCTCCAGCGCCGCAGAAGAGTGATGTTTCCTCACGCACATCTCTGTCTCAAGACGTGTCTCAAGACGTGTCTCAAGACGTGTCTCAAGAGGGATGTCTCCCACACACACATCCTGAAAAGAGTCCACACAGGGGGCTCAAATCCTTTACAGATGTTTGTCGGGTACTGACGATTCAGACTCCCAGAGGTGCCACGTGATGAGGAGAGCTGTCCACGGTGTGGCCCAGGTGGTCATTGTTATGGGAACAGGTCTTCTCTCCCACGGAGAAGCTGGTGGCTTTGAAACCGCCGACCTTTTGGCTAGCAGCCGAGGACTTAACCTCTGGGAGCTCAATTCTGCCCTGTAACATAGGGGGTCAACTGGACAGCAGGCCCCAAACCCCTCCAAAGCCAAGCCATACAAGAAGGTGCTGGCTCCGTGACTGGAGGCTGCCCCCCCCCGCCCCGCCCGCCTTTATCCCATGCAGAGGCAGGTGGATTCACACTGCCACCCTTTGGCTTAGCAGCCCACCACGAACCTCACTCCAGTCACCAGGGCTCTTGGACGGGAAGGGGGTGCAGCGGGAGATTCTGGGTGACAGGGCGCCCACTGCAGCTGCTGCTGTCACTGGACCAGAAGAGGGAGGCACCTGCGCAGGGCTGACTCCTGGGGCTCCAGCCCGCGAGGCTGTGTCGTTGTGGGATGCCATCCAGCGGACACCTGCTCATCGCGGCCCTGTGACCGGCGATCAGAAGCCGGTCCTGTCCTGTGCCATCCGCACCATCTCGGCCACGCTCGCGTCCAGTGCTGCAGTCACCGTGTCTGTCCGTCTCGTTGAGGGTCTTTCCCTCTTCCTCCGACCCCTCCACCTTTCGCAAGGACTGGCCCTTCAGACAGCGTGTCCAAAGTCTGTGAGACCAGGTTTCACAACCCCCCGCCGCCCCCGCCTCTAAGGAGCCCTCTGATTCCCCTCCCTCCAAGACAGCTTGTTCTCTTGGCAGCCTGCACGGTAGAGGCAACTCGATGGCACAGAACCACCAGCACCACGACAGTATTCAGCACCCTCCCCCGATACCATAGCTCACTGGCATCAGTTCTTGGGTCGCATCTGGTGACCGGTACCATCCACCCCATCACCGTTTCACTCCCAAAATCCTTGCTTCCAAAGAGCAACCTGGTTTCACCTTCTTCAGGGCAGACCTGTTTGTGCTCTTGGCAGTTCATGGTATGCTCAATACTCTTCTCCAGTGCCATCACTCAAACCCATTGATTCTCATTCAAATAAGGTTGTATGGAACCTTACCAGATTGGTCAGCTTTGCCATCTACTAGGTTGAAAATGACCCATTCAAGAGGCAGAAAGAGGAGCTCTGGGAAGTTCTGAACAGAGAGTTCAGTCTATAGAAAGCTTTAAATCCGCCAGCGACGTCACAGGCGAAAGAAGAGAATTCTCCTCCCGTGAGATTTACAGCTCCTGAAATGCAACGGACTGCCAGCTCTAATGAGCTGGTTCCAGCTCAACAGGTGAGTTTGAGTTGAGACCATCAAGAAGAGATGGAGGCAGAGTGCATCCTTTGGACCCACAATCCCTGCTCTGACAACTTCCCTGATCCAGGAGACAGACAGACAGAGCTGTGACATCAGAGAGGACAAGAGGCAAAGTAACAGAGGTTGCGGGGGGTTGGGGGCTGGTAGGGCATTGTGACTGGTTTCAGACACATCAAACTGAGTGGCTTTGCAGGTAGAGAAAAATCCTGACTCATTCCTGATGCTGACTGGTAGCTATCTTGCTACTTCCCTAGTGAGCCCCATTATCTGTGTCTGTGCAAGGACTCAGGGAACCTAGGACAAGCAAAGAGTGTGGCTGGAGTCGGGATGGTCAAAAGGCCGGAGAGAGGAGGCATGCCTGAGCTCTACTTCACAAGACCGGTCTTGATTCCCCCACTCTCCATCTTTGATGGTCATGAGGTCTCCCATTCCACCTCTGCAACGACCTTTAAACCTAGTGGGACCCCAGAATGGACTGATTCTCCACGGTAGAAATTCCACACACCTTATCTGCACGGTACCACCCCCAAGGGATGCCATGCCCCCCCCCCTTTCTTTGCATTATTAGTAAACGGTCCAATCCCACCAGGTGGGCAACAGGTACGTAATTTGCATATCTCCGCCCAGACCCGTTGACAGTACAACATGTGCACAGAGCAGCTGACACGCCTGCTGAAGCCCGGGAAGCATGGCACGGAGTGCTTTTAGAAGAAGAGGAAACGGGACACTTGAGAAAGAGGGGGGCGGTAGTGGGGACAGATGGAGACGCGGGGCGACGGTCAGAAGAGCCCACTGATCGTCCAGCTAGACTGGGGGTCGGCAGGGAAGGGGTTACAACGATAGAGACACCAGGAGGACCCGGCGTGGCACGAGCGTCCCCGAGCGCCGCCGCCACCACCGGCACCCCCGGGCTAGAGCGGCCCGCGCAGGCGCAGAGCGAGGCGCACCGGGCCGGGCCGCGGGGGGGCGCCTCCCTCGACACCCGGAAGTCTCCGCCTAACGGGCCGAGCCCGCGCCTCCTGGCCTGGAAGGGGGCGGGGCCCGGTGCCCCTCGGCGTGAGGCGCCATAGAGCGTGGACGGAGGGCCAGTGTCCTCGATGCGTCCGGAAGTGGCCCCCCAAGGTGCCCGCTCCGACCCATAGAGCCGGAGAGGGAGGAGGGGAGGGGTGCCCAGGCTGGGGTCCCCCGGGCTCGCCCTTCCCCAGAGCGGAGAGGACCCGGGAGGAGGCCGCGGCGGCGGTGGTGGTGGTGGTTAGGGGGGGCCGCGGCGCTGGCGGAAGCGGCCGGGAAGGTCACTTCCGGCCTGGGCGCCCGTCCCCCTGACCCCAGGGTCTGAGTCGCCGCTGCTGCCGCTGCCACCATCCGCCAGGGAGGAGAAAGGAGGAGGAGCGCGGCGCGGCGGCCTCGGGCCTGCGGAGGTGAGGGGAGGGCGGAGGCGGGGGGCGTGCGCCTT